ACTAGCATCTTTCTCACTAATTTTGGTAGTGCTCTAGTCAAACTTTCTCAGCCTCGGGTATTTACGGGCTGCTGTGCAGCCTCACTTTATCCTGACAGATCAGCAGTCCACCTCCTGTAGTCCCCGTGTCTCTACAGTGACAAATTCAACGAGCCACGGGCTAGCTCCTTTTAAGCCTTTCACAATCTCCAATGCTTCGTTTGCTTGCATATACATCTTAAAATGTTTGTATGTCTTGAAATTTCCTGCAGGCAGGCAGCTAAAGATTTTGGGACATCACTACGTGCTTAAATAACTAGATTTCCCATTATATTTTACAGGAAACAATCACTATGCATCTAAAGAAAAAAAAAGAAAACAAGAAGCTTAATTTTAATTTGAAGTACAAGGACTCTGAATCTGTCAATAGTCAAATTACTGCATTTTACTCACGACTACCTGTATACACTATCATTCTTGCCTATGTTAACATGACGAGTAATTATGCCCAATTGTTTTTTCCATTATGTAACCTTTAGTTTAGTTTGTTATTGACTCAGAGGACGTAAGTGACGTTCTTAGATATTTGTATTTTACTCTCATTTCTTCCACTTCGAGAATTTAATTAAATGCTGCCCATATGAAGCCTGACTTTTAATCAAATCGGCCTGTGCTACAGGGAGGCACAGATTTATTAGAAATCAAATATTGAAGAATTCAGAAAATAACTACAGATATAACCTCTAGTCTTATCACACCAAATCAAAAAGCAAAGTGGACATTGCTACAGTATTAAATGATACCAAATGCAAGCAGAATTCATATGCAGGTTACTTGCAGACAGTTCTTAAGCACTGTCAAACATCTTGTGATTGGGCAGAAAAAGTCAGTCCAACATTTACTAATTGATTTAATAAGGTATAATTACACTTGTTGTATAGTGACAACTGCATGAAAAGTATTTATTAGGAAATCATGTATTACCTGACCCCCTAAAAAAACCTGTGCTTTTTACTGTGTTAAACACTAATTCATCAATCCATATTATGTTTGTTTAGATCCATTTCAGTGCCTTGAGAAAATCTGCGTAGTTTGAAGCAAGAATACTAAGTGAATTATACATTTCAATGAAGTTTTCTACTACTGCTATCTAGTCAAGAAATAATAGAAAACCAATGTACTGCACTACTATAATCACTATTTGCAGTCCTAATTCCATCATAAAGTAATCGGTTTAGAGTAGCATATTCTAAATACTTTGTTTCTAATTAAAATAGATGATGAATTACTATCCTAAATTTGTTAAAGCTTAAAGGTGACTGATAAAGTCAAGAACAACAGTAAAATCTAACCTGAACCTAATCTAGCATTTTACAATGCTCAGAAGAGATCTTAAACCAGTCTTTTGTTCCAGGAGTTTATCTGATAGAAGTAAATTTTAAAACGGTCAGTAAAATCTACCTTCTACCCATTCATCAGCTTTATTTTTCTCAGATGTAATAACTGCATCAACTTCCTGACAAAAAAGAGTAATCTTTGTAACAAAAGAACAAGGTAAGTGTATAAGGGATATTTTGAAAAGGTCACTGAACTTCTCATAATTAAGATTTAACATGCCTGAACTTCAAGAATCATATATCATTCACTAATGTGACCAAAATTTCCTAAAGCCGACATACCTTCTTTTTTGAAATAGCTAGATATGAAGCAAAACCCAAGATACATCAAGTATGTATAAGACATTTTTAAACAGATTTCTCCATTCTGTTGTTGTCGGTTTCTACACAGCAGTTACGGAGAAAGCTGTGCTGTGTATGTAAGCGATAATGCCCTAGTAGAACACTATGAAATTCAAATTTAAGGTTACCTTACACTATTGCTTCTGATTTTTTAAACAAAGATTCACATATAAAGGGATGCCAGAACACTAAAGTGAACTGCTTTCAGTCCTCTTTGAAGGTTCCATCATGTTGTGCAACAGTCCCTTATTTCTGAAGAAAAGCTAGCACGCCAATAATTATTTTGTATATCAAAACCAAGAACATAGGGGACACCATACTTAGAAAGTTGTGTGTTAACAGATCCTGTATGTGTCTTGAGACTAACTGGCAAGCACACCAACCTCAAATGTAATTCAAGAGAGCACAATAAAAGGCAGTCTGTGAGAAAAATGGACCTGGTTTAACTTAACTCGGTAAGCTTTAGAGTCTTCCTTTGAACTTCTTCATGTAAGTGACATGAAAGGGGGAAACACTGAGGAGACTGAGTAAAGTGAGGGACAAACCAACAAGGCATCCTTAAGTAACGGCAAAACCCCCACATCAGTTATGAACAGGTAAGAGAGAAAAAAGATGGGACAGTGCAGCTCCCGACCACTTAAAAATGTACCTACTTTGCGTATTAAGCTAAAGTCCTTTTTAATTACTTTTTTTTCTTACATCCACTAGAACAGAAGATGCGTTAACACTGATACCAGTCAAAGAAAACTGTGCACTACTAAGTCATTCTCGAGTACCGTGATGGCTAACAAGAAGCCTGCAGCATGCCTTCCCAGCAGGGTATGGCTTTGGAGGGAAAAGCTCAGGCCTGCTGAATTCTTTTTAATAAAAAGGTTTTTATACCAGCAGCATAAAATGAATATTTTCTGAAAAATAAGCCAATAGGCAAAAAAAAAAGATATTATTGCATACATACTCTCACTTATTTTTATCAAAACACAGACATCTGCATGAATCTACATCAGCCTGTACACGCAAAAGTGAAACCATTCAACTGGTTTTAAATCTTGGAAAGTATCTGATGTTTGTGTTGGTTTCCTGCTG